CTAGTAGAGTCTCGATGATTCCTCTCTTAGTCGATTGATGGTGGTTGGATATCTGGTTCAGATACTGTCCTGTATGAGTGGGTTTTCGATATACAAATGTTTCCCATTTAGTGTCGGTCCTCTTCACCAAAACGTCTGAGGAAGGCAATTCGTTGTGGACTTCCTTTTCCATTGTGAAAGTGATGGAAGGACTTACGTTGTTAATGTGCTTTAGGAAAATGTCTAGTTCTGCATTCCCATGGTTCCATATTATGAAGGTGTCGTCTACGTATCTCAACCAGACTTGGGACTTCTTGTAAGCTTCGTCAATGGCCAGAGTTTCAAATGAAATTGTTATTCTCGGTTAATCTTTTTAATGTTTTTTCAGGAATTTCAAATCATTTTATATTTTATTAGACAATGGAATACACCACGAAACATTGTCAACCACCTTCAAATGAAACTTTCTATGTTTTTTATCACTTTTATTTGTAATTAACGTTACTACAGTTTCCTCCTATAAGGACATTTTCATGTATAAGTGTATAAGTCTGAGAATGTCCTTAAAGGACGAAACTGCAGTAACGTTAGTTACAAATAAAAGTGGTAAAAAACATAGAAAGTTTCAATTCTCTTCTCATCAGAGTAAAGCATTGTCCCTCGACGCGCATTCTGTTAACCAAGTTAACATCATTAGGGAATGACTAAAACTGAATCTAAAAACTGAGTTAGAGTCTTTCATATACATCTGGACGAACCATTATCTACGACATTATCGAAGGACGAACTTTTGATAATGAGGGTCATTAAATAGTCCAGATGGGAATGAAAGAAAAAAAGGATGAGTTCAAAGTGATTGAGTCTATTCTCCCCTCTACTGCAACTCGCGAGGGATTTTTGTGACTCAGACCTATTTAAACTCGGGTAGTGGGTAATGGATTTGCGGGTCAGCTGGCAAAAGTGCCGATAACGAAATTCTGATCCGGTTCACAATGGGGCAGGCACATAGTATGGGATCCGCTTTGAAGGCCTGAATTTCCTTGTTGAGAATAATCAGCCAGATCAGTCGTCAGACTGCGACTATCTTCGTCAGGTGAAAAAGCGACACCACTGGGTGGCCTGGAAAGTAGATCTCTTGTTGAATAACTTTTTTCGAAATCAATTGCCCTAACACCAAACTGATATTTTTGCACTCGACGCGCGTTTCGCCAACAAAGTTAGCATCATCAGGAGAAGAACATTGATACCTACTCTAGTCTGGTTAATCCTTATATACTAAAATTTGTTACCAAAGGTTGTATACCTGAAGTCCAATATGGAATTTCTCGGTAATTAACTACCTGCAAGTTCTTAGTAATTATTCTCTTCCTAACAGAAGATTAAAGAGCGGGCTAAACGGGATGGGTCCCTTTTCGCCATTCATGCTGTTCTTACATTTTGCTATTTCTAGACTCTCACATGCATCGAGTAGCCTGGTGTCATGCACATGCTTAATCAGTTTCAGATTGTTTTCACCAATTCTGTGGTCCTTGTCTAGAGCATTTTGGGCGACACTGGATTTTTCTATCCTTCCATATTTCATGTGTGCACAATGCTTCTTGAAGCGGGTTTTAATCGCTCATCAGCTCTGGCCGATGTATTTGCTGTTGCAATCTTGACAACTGATTTCGTGAATCCCCGACCTTTCTGTGTTTTCTAGTCTATCTTTTAGATTACCAAGAAGCTGTTGCAATTTATAAGAAGTTTTATATGCAACTTTCATATTTACTTTATCGAATATTTGTTGAAGCCCTATCGTGGGGGCACGAGAGGGCTTCAACAGGTAACCCCTCAGGTAACAAATTTTAGTATATAAGGATTAACCAGACTAGGTATCAATTTTCTTCTCCAGAGGATGCTAACTTTGTTGGCGAAACGCGCGTCGAGTGCCAAAATATCAGTTTGGTATTAGGGCAAGTGATCTCGAAAAAAGTTATTCAACTTTCACACCAAAGGTTCCAATCTCATCGTTATAGATCTCCTGTGACACATTCCAGATAGACGCAGGGTACTGATTGCAACCACCAAACAAACACACCCTTCCCAGGAACCCTGTAGCAATCTTGGCCGAAATATGCAATTCTGGATTCGTGCTTGTGGTTCATCTGCTGACAATTATAATGGCATACTGAGAGATTCCAGTTCATTGATAGATATTGATGCTCACAGTATTCTTCTCTTTCCTCGTATCAACTATTTCTGGCGATACATTAGATGCAGCCATCTAGGAATTTTCCGCCTCTAATTTGGGTTGTACATCGTTCGAATGTGAGTATTTGCTAACCTGCTTAGGGCTATGTATATTTCGGTTCTTCTGCTCAAGAATTTGGTGCGTGGCAGATTCATAAAATATCCTCCTGAGATGTCAAAGTAACTTCCTGTCTGTACCACCTGTCCTGTCTGTACAAGCAAAACAGTGTCATCATTCCGTTGAGACTCATCTATATACGTCATGGAATATTTTTCTATTACTATATCAATGAAGACGTTCGAATCTTCGTTGACACTGATAAACTTTTGTATAGGTTATATTTCTTGTCTTGGAAGTTCATCCAAGAATTTCATGAGACATTAATTTCGCAACTTTAATGTCAATTAAAAGGGTTCGAGGTCGCAAAATAATCGATCATTTCCAAATATGCCATTATGTTGATGTTGAGCAATGAAGTTATCGTTCATTTCACATTCGTTATACCATGTCTAATATTTTTTTTGCTCCAATTCCTGATTTGAAGCATATAACAGAGAACGAAGAGATACTGGAGATTCTGTCCCAATGTCCCAATTTGAGCATACATGTTTCATGCATAAGTAATAGCGTTATGATATGATAAAGAAAATAACTTCCGTCTGATTTCTACTACGATTTTTATTCGTTTTGGTACCTGCAATAGATACCTGAAATAACAAAGTGTTACTTGAATTTTTTTCAAGGCCTTATAGAGTGTCATCGCCAAAGTATGCACCATATGGGAAACTAATTTATTAAGGGTTTTTCGACAAAAAATTATTCTTGATAAAAGTTTGTGCATCCCCTAAAACTGAACATACATCAACAAAATACAGTAAAACACACGTAATATACGAGGAGCCTTCAAATATTTGATTTTGAGGCGGGAGAAAAGTACTCTCATTTTGAAAAATCTCGTTAAATGTTATTTAGGAAAGTTGTTCAGCATCAAAAAATACATCCAGATGTGAAGTCATGGCCTGTTTTATGACTTGGGCCCTCATTTTGTGCTATCGACAAATTATGAACGGACTATAATTGATAATTTTCCAAAACCTAGTACGAACCTCAAATTCGAAATTGCATGTTAACCCATGCAATCACAAAAATATTAAAATTGCCAACGATGAAAAAATACATCACCACACTAGCCCGATTTCTTGTTTTCTCCCAAAGCACATAAAAACCTCGATAATAAAGGGACACGCGCTTGTATTCCTCCTCTTTGCTGCCTTCAGAGAAAAATGGATTATCTTCCGGCGGAATTAGGTATCTGTGTATTCCAGTTATTTTCCAATTTTGGTTACATTTATACGTGTCCAAAATAACTTGGGAAATATCGATCTCTCATACTAATAATATTTTCCTTTTGGTAAATAATGTGGATACGTTTTTTCATATATTCGCTGAAATATGGTAATTTTACATCAGCCCGATAACAATATTGACTTCTTCTATATGAGGGGAGTGAATTCAGGGTTATGATGTGACTCGAATGTGTATCTCGACACTGTTTGAAGAACTTAATTGCAATACGATTCAATGAACATTTTTGACAAAAGAGAATATTTTCAGGAGAGGCTAGTTTTTGGAAAGGAACTCCGTTGATTTTATATTTCTCATAATACCTTTTACGTTATGGAATTCTGATAGACAACGATGTACTGATAGTTATTTTGTGAATATTTCATTCATACATTCGGTGGGACATTCTTCCAGAAGTACATGCAATGTTGTGGTCAAATTATTTTCATTGTTTGCCTCTGCAAAAAGCTTGAGGAAATTTTTGGTTCCCTATCTTACCTGACAGCAGTTCACATTTTTATATTCAGAAGTATAAGTGGGAAAATAATAACATAATTTTACTATATTCTCTGTGAGTTCAAACAAGATTTGCATCTGATACCCGCAAAGATTCTCATTGTATTTTCTGCAAAATGAATATTTTTCAAGCGGCAGACCTGGTAAGCTTACAGAAATTACCCATGAACCTCAAAATGTAGCAGTTTTCTCTCAATCTACTACTCAATATGAGGGGTACATGTGAGATTGTAGTCGAATGTAAGGCCTTACATTTTAGTAGAAGCATGAGATTCAACTGGTAGATACTTGTTTTCGTAATTAACAAAATGATCGGACCATTTCCTGATTGAGAGTTTTATCAATGCTGTCTTAGGTGTGTTGAGTGTGTACCTTTTTTGTACAGGTATTTTCTGTGCCTACGGTTTCTCAGTAATTTTTTTGAGAGCAAATGGGTCAAGAGTTAACAAAAAAAATGAGGTTGAAATCATTTCTAGTAAAAGAAAGGCCGCCAATTAGTTTGAGCTAATACGTAAAAATTCAGACTATAACTAATCAACTAATAAATCAATTATAATTAAAAATAGATAGAGTATCAAGAATCTAAAATGAATTTCATTCATATGAAACTATTCAAGAACTGTTATTTGATCTTGAAGATGAGTATTGTAACACATTTTTTTAAGTTATCACTGCAGGATGGCATTGATTTCCAATATCATCACCCACCTATATCCACATTTAATTAATTTTGAAATTTAATGTCATATAACAACAAGATAAGAAGAAAAGTGGTATTATGAAAAAATCGTTTCATTATATGGGTACTCTTGCAAAGAACCCGCATAATTCTCTATAAAAACTTTCGACGTTTTACTTTCTTATTATTCTGTTAGTTACCGTCGATGTAGCAAGTGAATGTGGAAAATCAGTTTTCAAAATGCAGTTCAACATGACGGATCAAAGTGAGTTCTCAAAAAATTGTGTGTGGTCAGTCGGATTTGTCTTTGGATAATCATTATTCTAGGCCGAAGATAATGTCAATTTTTTTTTAAATTTGTTTCTGATGTGTTGATTCTTTTTGTTGAGGGTGATACTCTAAAAGTTACAGAAAAAACGTGACAAATTGGCGTTTATATTTGTACTCAAATCAAAACGACAAGGTTTCTCAGGCGTATAGCGTGTTCATCGAATCGGCCATCGTATCAACACATAAAAGAGTAATACAAATATATCATTGAATATTTAAACAATTGAATATTCTTCATAATTTTTTTCAAAAATAAATTATTGTTGAGAGGCTATTATTTTTATCTGCATTGGTACTGTGCAGTGATTTATGTAAATTGTGCGGAGCATTATAATAATTACATTTCGATTAAGACTTGGCTACATTATTCACCTCTTACTATTCATATAAGATACTCCAATTTCATGTTACAGAAAACTATCTTCCTCAGTATTGTTACATATCTAAAGTTTATTCGAGAGTGATCCAAAACAGTGAGTTACATGTCATCTAGTATAATATTATGTTCAAATTTTTTCAGATTGTGGAAGGTTATAAATCCAAAAAAACAGTGAAGAATTTTGAAATATCATAATTTTCATTATTGTATGGAATTAATTTCAGTTGCCAATTTCATGCCAAAACCAATCAAATACAAGTACTAAACAGTTTGTACAGTTCTGCATATTTTATTTTAACTTGAAATGTTGTTTAATTATCCAGATAGAACAAAATATTAAAATTGAATTTCATCAATTTTCATTGCAATCACTAAAACGTATATCAATTATTCAATTTGATACTATTGTCATTCCAGAAATATCTGAAAATAACATTAGGACACATACTTATACGTGGATTTTTTTTCCAAAAGTTCAACCACTTTTTGTCACTTTCAACATCTCAGATGCACTGCACCTGCTTTGTCCCCAGTTCAATTCGCAATAGCGTACGAAACCAAATCAGGACTTAGATCAGTAAGAAACATAAGAAAGACATGCAAAAAATACCTGAAGACAAGCACGGAAAAATCTTTATAAAGAAACCAAGTTCGGTATAAGATGATGAACATCCAATCAAGGGCCTGAACAAACTATCACAAGAAACACGATTGTAGGGAGTTGTATCATACGAAAAGATGAATAATACTAAATGAACAAATTAGATGGCTTCCAAGTAGCAAAAAATTGTAATAACTATTCCTGAAAATGTCATTTGAGATGTTGGTGAAATTTCAAAAACCAAAAAATATCTAAACCAATAGTAACTGAATGTTACTATAAATAGTACAGTAAATATACGTACAGTAAATATTGCATAATTCAATAATCATTTCAACGACTCTTTCGTCCTTTCAGTTCTTCCGACATTAGAAACTGGGATACACCGACAACCAAGATTTGGATACATCCCTCTGCTAGGTTTCCTTCTGGCAAACTTACTCTCAAACACTGCACTGGCCAAGTTTGCACCACTTGGCGCCCTTCGATTGAGTTACGATCCGGTACCATGGCTGCCAAAACCTTCACATACTCACGGCCCGCATCCCGATTTCTATTGGCACCCAATCAGTAACCCACATGGCCCACCATCACCAGTAACTTTGGCAACAACAGATCCACATGAACCCCAACATATCTTTCATCATCATATTTCACCAGGTACTCAACAACAAATCGTAAACATCCACGAACGACCTTCGGAAATCATTGTAGAAGATACAGAACCTGAGAGTACCGATCAAACCGAAACGGGTGCAACAATACTGTTTGATGATAGTAATGCATTGCAGGGGATTGGTACTAGCATAGAAAAACCTGGGATCGACGAACCGTATGCTATAGAGTCCAAAAGTATTCCTCTAGGTCTGATGGAGATGATGACGAATGCTACAACAGTATCTCCAAAGAAAATTGTGAAACGCGGGACCCCCAATAGGTACCAGAAGGTTAGAAAAAATAACAAGTACATCTACCAGAAACGAAGGCGGTATCCAACCACAACCACTCCTGACTACTACTATGATGATAGTTATGAAGACATCACAACTTCGACTAGGAGGTATTCAACACCAAAAAGGAGAACGTCAAGGCCGAGACGACCTATCTTGGATTCTTACGATGAGAGTGAGAGCAACAGCTATAGCGACATCAGCAACAACAGCGAAGAGTACGATTATGAATCGTACGAAATGACCACGAAACCACACAAAAAGAGGAGGCGCACGACCACAACAGCTAGCACGACAAACAAACCAAAGAGGTACAATAAGAACAAAAACAAAAATAGGAAGCGTCAGAAAGTGGTGACTTCCTTCGATGACTACGATGATGTTGAATACGAAACAGAAAGGATCGAACCCACAACAACCGAGGTTGTTAGAAAGAAAATCACGACAACGGAAGCTGTGAAGAAAAAGCCCACTACGGTATTGGTAAGACAGAAACAAATGGAAACAACCACTCAAGAACCAACGGAAACTACTACGAGCTTCACGTCATTGACAGCTATTACCAATGGAACGGAAGCTCCTCCATCAAATACGACGGGTTACGGTAAATATTACAGTTCTTCCAATTATTCTGCATTTCCAAAAGAAAATAGCATCATCACGAATATACAGAAGGGCCAGAAACTATTGTTATTTTATAACCGACAGCTCCAGCTATCGATTCGATATAATCTTCTATTCAAACTGTCGATTAGCCGTATTCTACAATTCAAATTATCGATTATACTATTCCTGGCATTTATGGGTTTTCATTCTCCTGAATCAAAAAAATAATTTTAAAACAAATCGAATATTTATGACAAATTACTGAATTTGTCCAAAAATTGTACTGCGTTTGAATTAATTCAGATTGTAATTCATCCAACGTGTCTGTAGTACTTCTTGTGATGAATTTTGCCTATATATTAAAAAAAACAAGAATTTCAAATGAAAATATACTTCCTTCGGATCACATTTCCAGAACTACCTATACTTTCTTTGTCATATCTATATAACATTATTCGACCATAATTGACAGTTTGAGTTATTAATTATGGATAAAAGACAGTTCGAATTGTCGATTATGGATACACGACAGTTCAAATTGTCGATTATGGATAGCGACAGTTAAAATTTTTGAATATGGCTTATTCATAGTTCGAATTATCGATTATGGCTAATCGACAGTCAAAAATGTCGATTATCATTTACTAATAGATAATTTAAACTGTTGAATAGGCCCATCGAAAGTTTAAACTGCTGTGACCATTTAGCGCCTTCGTTTGCTTCCCAAAAATGCGATACATTTTATTATATGTATAGACCAAATACCAGAGCCATAATTCCTTCCTCTTTAATATTCGTACTTCGAGTTTTCTGTCGATCCTATAAATGGTGACTTCGTAAGGGTATTCATTATCGCCACTTGTAATTATTTAAGATGTACAGTCTTTGAAAATATTGACAAATCGGCTAACAAGATGATTTCTGTTTGAACTTACACTTGATTAGTAGTTTCAACGACTAGCCAGATGAAACAAAGATATTGAAAAATAATAAACGTATTAAAAATACCGGTACGCTTTGTTCCCATTCAATCAATTACGTTAATACCATTTCATAGGAATTTCAACTTTTCAGTTGGTAAACGAGTATTAAGGAAATGAAACATTTTTCTGGTAAAAATTTTGATTCAATGGCAAAAAAATCAGTTTTCTGTTTGTGATTGCAATAGGCGTTATCTCACATATGATGAATTTGAATAAAACATACGTATTATGTAAAATGTTTTACCAAATGTATGACTTCCCAATGAGATGACAATCATGCATAAGATGAAGAGACAAGGTAAATAAACATTCTTTGCCTGTTGTCGCCGAATTAATTTTATGGTTAAAGTAAAAGTATATTCAGTACAAGGGATGAATATATGTAATTAATATAATAAGTTAAACAATATGAAAGACATAAATTATGTAAGTGGACGAAAATACACCGTGAAGTTCATGGTATATCTTGAATAAGGTTGGTATATAAAGTGTAGACTTCTCAGATGTGAGTTCTATTTACAAACGTCTTATAGAAAATATCTTTGGTAGCATATTTTATAAATACAACGTTCATCGAGTTAGAAATTCCACTATTAGGGGTAGGCTGATGAAAAATTATATTATGCTTATTTTATATCAGGATATGGTCCTTCCAATGGAAACGAAGCAATCAGTATCACCAACCCTCCGAATTTTGCGGGGGAAACTTCAGGTAACTACGAGCAACCGTCTCCGACCTATGGTGTACCAAATCCATCAAATGGCCCTCCTAGTCAGTCTTACGGCGTTCCAAGTTCATCCTATGGTGCACCGAGTCCATCTTATGGCCCCCCCAGTCAGTCTTACGGCCCTCCGTTGTATGGTCCACCGAGTTCTTCCTATGGTCCTCCGAGTAACTCATACGCGGAGAATCCTAGCTATTCTCCACCCGTAAATGGGTACTACCAAGTACCGTTCTCTGATTGGTACAGCAACGAGGTTAGTAGGAATTCCATCGTCAAGAAAGTTCATGATATTATCGGTTTGGATAGTGTTTTTCAATAACTAGGTTAGTTTCAGTACTATAAACAGAGATTCCGATCTTTGAGAAATATGTATTCACAACAGCTGATGATGAATATAACAACTTTTCTGATATCCCTCGTAACACGATTTGTTCTCCTATGGATAAAGTGATTATTTTTTCTGAGATACGTTTGGATTGTAATCAATTGATATATAAAGAAGAAGTCAATATTTGAATTTAGTCATAAGTGATATATTGAAAATCTGGGTTTTCTCCCATTATGATGTACATGTCCCTGATATGCTTCAATATTTTAGTTAGGAGACGCATTACCAGTAAGATGTAACTGTTATTTATGAAGGAATGGTACCCTTGGTATTTGACTGATATGAGTCTGATTTATCAAACCAACAGTTATGATTAAAATGCTAACAATATTATTGTTTAGATAATATTAAATAGATTTCATATTCCCAAATGGTGAAGGTAGTTATGTAAGATATTTTATACCAGTGTAAATAAAGCCAGAACAGACAAATCTTTCAATATGTTTAATTTAAATTTAACTCAGTAAAAAAATGTAGAGCAAGATGGGTTGGATGCCAGAAAATGCTGCCAAGAACCTCCTCAAAATGAGGACCTACGCCATATTCACGACATTTCAGTGACACGTGAAGCTCTAGTTGTACACCTAGGATTATGTGTATCTCAATTCCAAAGGCAGATTATTTCAGACAAACAATTAAGAACTATTAACAACTTCACTTCGAAGTTAAGTTACAATGATTTTGATATATTCATAAGGAATGTCTGGCAAGGAATTCAATTTCGTATTGTGTTATGTGTTTTGCGGGTCAGTTTATTTATATTTGTATCTAAAACCAAAATTTAGTCAATACTGCGCTTTTCATATTTGATATTGAAAATCTTATACTTTTTAGTGACCAAGTGAAGTTTTCTCTAAGAAGTTACTGTTCTCGGATATGGGGAATTCAGAATTGAAAATGGGAATTTTTTTTTATGAATAGCATTTCGAGATGTCTCATATAACANTTTTTTCCTTCCACCTTTTGACATAACGTATTTTTACGTATCATTCTCAATGTAACGTTGATCGGGAAATGATAAACTTCGTTTAGAATACCCACGAGAGAAACACATTATTAGTATTCTAATCGAGAATAAGGTCTAAAAATAAATTTTTCTCATTAAAATTTTCCACCTAGCTTAGTTTCACGTACAATTCAATATTCATGTGAAATATAAAAATGATTCTTCAGCATTCTTCAAAAATATCTCACAGTTCTCTTGAATCCTGAAGTAGAATGTATAACAGTCCTATCAAAAAAAAAATACACGATGAAATATTTAATTGAAGTAATCGGTTTCACTTATATACATTGCATGGCGCTAAAAAATCACCCTTGCAAATGCACAGGAAATAAGGTTAACATGATAGCAGATAGCATTAAATTGTGGTATGAAATCGGCCTTCATAAATACATGACTCGTAATACTGAACTTATCTATTTTTCCCATCTAATGTTCAAGCACGGAATATGAGACAGGTTGGATTATATTATTTCCATGAATTTTCAATTTCATAATATTAATTCACTATGAAAAAAATTGCACCACAGAAAGCACACAAAATATACTTTCACAGGATGATCGAAAAAGTCGACAATGCATATTATTTGGGTAGTTTTCAGTTGATTTTGGTCAAGCTAACTTGGTTGCTTGATGAAAACACTAAACAAAGTGATATACTTATAATAAAAACGCAAAAAAAATTCTCGATGAAAGCATTTGTATAAGCAGCCTCAACCAGGTTCTCATCATAAATAGTACTGAGAATCCTAAATATAATTTAGACCCCTAAAACAATAACAATTTTTATCATCATATCTCATAATCATGAAGATAAAAGATCAGTTCCAAAGGTGCTACAACATCATAATCGATAATCAACAGGTTTCCGGAAACAAAGCTTAACGGGCGATCTTCTTCCACCCATCTTTGGAATTAAGCTACTGCGCTTACTACTACTCCCAAGGCATTTGATCGTGATTGAAATGAAAGTCTACTTATTGAACTTTGATGTTATGATTTGCCAAATCATTTTTTGTTGTAACACTCCCACTTTCTCAAAGACCGTTCATTCGTAGCCATCAATGATTCTCTCTTGAATACCTTCCCCATCAATACGGGTATTCTCCAGGAATCCAGGGTGCATCTAATATTTTTTCCGTTGTACATAAACGTCTAATATATTGCTTTATTAACTACAGTACACATTCTCTTTTTGCCATATAAGAGAACACCAGCTACCAGTGCATGAAGATCTGGATGAAATGTATCTTTATGATGGCAGTAAACAAGTGACATTCAATGCTAAAAAAATGAATGTATCAGGATTGGGCTCAGTGGTGCCAGGAAAGACAATTTTGCTGACTGTGTGAATAACTTGTTGAACGATAAAATGAATATCAATATGCATTGGCAATAACACGTTATAGATACCAACAAACTGCAGACACTATTTCGTACTAGAACGTTTTACACCCGCAGCAACTTTCAATGCTTCATAAAGCCCAAATCCATCTTCTTGCCTTTGATATGCTACACGTGATGATGTGACTCTTATCAGCAAAAATAGGTCTAGTGCGTTTATGGCATATCACGAAAAAACGAAAACCAATCGGACGGACGAGACGTATTCTTAAACACTCTATTTCAACACACCTTGTATACTCGGCATTGCATCGCCGTCAAGTTGATTTTTTTATTTGAAGAAGTATTTTAACTGCAGCCTGTATACGTTTCACATTTGGGATCGCACGTTGAAATGCAAGACCACCCTCTGTTACTAAACAATTGAAAGATGTATTTTCCAAATACCCAGTAAACGTTCCCTCATTGAGAGAGGTCGCACGTTGATACGGTAGAACTTTTTTTCAACGATGTATTCACAAAACACTCTATATATGTTTTTTCTATTATATTTTCTCACCCTCATGCTTGATTTGTTTCAAACCGGCAACACATCATGAGTATGTGTAGACCTAGTGTTACAATTAGACTGTTTATTTATATGACCTGCTACAAACATTATGATGTATCGTAGTTAACTAAATTATCTATCTAAAGTGATAATGGAGGTTGAACTCGGAGAGTTGAGACTTTTCATTGTAAATTTCCTCCCCTTTGAGAAACTTCATTGTCATTTTCAAGCTACTGGTAGTTTTTGAGTTATTGACGAAAAATTCAATAACGATTGCAATTTTGTGTGTGTGTTATAAAATCATCGAAATATATTTTGGTATAATCGAAGTAACCGATATAGTAATCTTAAAGGTGTCGGCGAACTCAAAGGACAAAAAAACCAATACAAAGGAATTATGCCGCAACGAATTAGTCCACGTGGACTGAAGAATTGGCGGTTCGTATTGGATAATTTTTACTAACCGAGTTTTATGATTGGCTGAAGAGTCATAAAATTGAATTTGAAGTCATGTTACGGTGACCAACAGAATGTAGCGATGAGTACCGCGTTGTGTGTGTTATTAAAGGGGAACTGCTGGAAGGTAGGGAGCACTATATCTTTTACTTGAACTATACATATCAATCTGATTCCAATGAGCTATCGCCTATATCTTTAAGGTCTTTATGTCTATGTAACACGAATTTGAACTTGATTTGAACTAGATAGGTACTATTACTGCCAAAATCGTATTTCTACTCCTTTACCTGAGCAATAAATAATTGTGTAGTAGCTGCTCCCGATTCTTCTCAGAAGAGAATATATCTATTATATACTGACCCAACAGAGATTTGCTAAACCCCTTGAAAGAGGTACTTTTTGTATGATTTTTCAGTGATGTTGATTTAGAGCGATGGACATTTCTAATAGACTCAAAATATTTTTGTTAACGTCAGTAGTCTTGGTAATAGTTTTTGTTCTCATAATTACAAAATAAATGTTCAATATTTTTAAGTCTTCAAATTCACATCATTTAGTCAATTGGAAACGTTTTATGCCAATAGAAAACCTTCCAATCGTATGTCTATCGTGGCTGTACTTTCGTTTATGTAGCGATAACAAGCCGTCAGGAAATATTCAATAAGTTTCGGAAACAACACAGTTCCTTTCGAACGCCTCTCCCATCAAACTTGTCACGCATAACATAAAAAATGCATGCGAAAGGGGAGAATTAAGTTTTCTCGCCAACCCTTGAAAGCATTAACAAATAGCACCTACGATAACTGGGTGTCTACCACTTAATCACTTAGAGCAGTCAAGTATCAATAAAATTGATGCTTTTTTTTGTAAAAAACTCAACTTTTGGCTAAATTTGATCTGATTCAGTCATCGATTTTCTTTAGTTTGTTCTACCAGATGTCGGATTGTCTCTTTCGTTATCCTGAAAAACTTCAAGAATGATATTCTTTTCATGCTTTCAATAAAGATGTTTAAACTGAGTCTTCTGAAGTTTTCTCAGAAATGAACCGAAATGTCGTATATGGTATATGTACATGGATGACTTCTACCGTTCATTTTCAAGGTGGCCCGCTCAAGATCGAGCTCAGCAGACATCCAACATCTACACAGTTCTAGGAGGATGGCAGGCACCAGTTAGTATCCATTGTTTATCTCGACGCTCACTACGTATTATTTTCCTTATAAATACGTCCTAAGTGACGAAATAAGTTAGTTACGAAATTGCTATTCAGCAGTTAACTTTGTCATAACATTATATGATTTTTTGTGATTCAAAGATAACGATCATTTCCCTTTTCAAGTAAATGAATTTTAAAAAGTTATTTTTGTCAAAATTGAATATGACAAATTGGCGCAGTCACGGTAGCATCCTACAATACCTCTCGAACACAGAGCTGCCTAACCAAAGGAAGAAGAATCAATAACTCCAGCCTTTGGACCACGGCAGGACGGTCTCTTCAACGTTGAAGAACACGTGCACGCTAACTTCGTGAAGCCAGATTTCAACCTCAATGGACACATTTTTGAAAGCAAATA